ATACCATATCCATCATATCCGCATCTCGGCTTACAACTCCAAGGCCAATGGAATCGTCGAACGCTCGCATCGAACGATTCGTGATTCACTCGTCAAAGCATGTCAAGGTGATATCACACAATGGCCAATTCTTGCGCCCCATGTTTTCTGGGCTGACCGCGTCACAACTCGAAAATCTACCGGTCATTCACCATTTTACATGGCGCACGGTGTCGAGCCACTCCTTCCACTCGATATCACGGAAGCCACATTCCTTATCCCAGACATCACCAAAATCATTCCTACACACGAACTTCTTGCTGTCCGCGCACGACAACTTGCCAAACGAGATGAAGACCTTGCAGACATTCACAAACGTGTCCTCGCAAGTCGTTATGCCTCAGTAAAAGATTTCGAGCGCCGTTTTTCGAACACAATCAAGGATCGAAGTTTCAGGCCGGGCGAGCTCGTATTGGTCTTAAACAAAAAGATCGAGCCTTCATCGAATGCGAAGTGCAAACCGCGTTATTTCGGTCCCATGATTGTCGTCTCGCGCAACACAAACGGCGCTTACCGCCTCGCTGAAGTCGATGGAGCTGTTTCAAAACTCAAATTTGCCGCATTTAGACTCATTCCCTACCACACACGCTCGCCAACGATGCTCGAGGTCACGCAGCTTATCGAAACAGACGGAGACTCAGTCGCAGGAGGAATAGAGTCATCGGGTGTTTGATTCGTCGAAGGATCAACCGAGGACGGTTGATATCTGTAGTTGGAGGGAGGTGTAAGGACTACTGAGCGGTTGACGCCGGAAATAGCCGAAGTAACGCTCACCTCTACCATCACCATCGAAAACTTCAGCACGGACCTCGTCATCATCCTATCCTTGTTCCCCATCAATGCCTCGTATAATCGACCCTTATTATTCTCGTCTCCGTTATCCTGCTCGCAGCCGAACCGCCGAAAACTGTCAAACCCATGCGCACTCTCATTATCCTGTCAAACCATACCCATTCATACCTCCGTTTGCTCATTTTCGTACTCTTTCGCGCTACATCTACTCTACCTTCTCAGACGCGACGATTCTACCTTCGGACTCCGTTTTTCGCATTTAATTTTGGCCTAGCCATCGATAAGGACCCTTACTATTCTAAAGTATAAGTAGCCCATGTACAGTCCATACTGACAGGCAATCATACCCAGTCTCGAAGTCTCACTCTCGCATTCATTGATATAACTATAACTAACGTCTCAAAAAAAAACCATCACATTCCTTATTGTCTAACATTCGCTGATAGCTATCTACTCTTTAGCGCTCGTATATCCTCCAGCGGTCTCCACACCCCTTCGCACTCGCGAGTCGTACGCCGACTTACATGTGTTATATTGGTGTTCAGCATCTCCACCAATCGCCTGAGTGCGCTACTGAAGTCGTAAGTGTTTGTAAGTGTCTGTAACGCGCATAAGTTAAGCGTTCATTTCAGTCATTTTGCAGATGTAGTTCCTAGAGCTAATTAGCATTAATTTTGACAGCTTTCAAGAATTTGTCTAAATAACTCTAAGTTTACATGGGAAGGTTTTCCTGATGTCTATGATGTAGGTATATATACATAGTCAGGACTATCTGAACAATCAACAATGACAAAGGGTGAAATACCAAACTCTAACAGCTTGGATACCCACAAGTTACCTGTGCTACTGTATACATTCGACCTTAGGTTCATGGGGGTTGTGGTGTGACATGACATAATGGTAGGTTTGCATGTTCATTCACCACTGTGACCTGTGACAAACTTAAGATAGGTTCGCCGAGGTGGTCAGACCACCCTTGGAGGACTTGGAGTCTCAGAATTTGATTGAATCTATGCTAGCTCAATTGATCCTCAGTCAACAACATGCACTAGTTAGAATTTGTTATATCTTGCAGATAAATGTGAGAGAACCAGATGTCACAATTTTAGGTTCGTCCTCGCCAGATGCTTGGGACTGTCACACAAAATAGGTTCAGTTCGGGGTGTCAGCGACGCTGTGATGAACCTAAGGTCAAACGTATACAGTATTGCCTATACTTATATTTGTCTAGGCTTTATAATTTATAATGATTGGAGTTTCCGGGATGGGGATGAGCGAGCTAAACAAGGTACAAATATCTCAGTGTTCATTTACAAAACTCTATTAACAAAATGTTGTATCTAAACAAGGTACAAATCTACTTGTACGTCAGTACTGTACTCAAATGTTACAGCAAAACCAACTACTCACATCTCAGTGTTCATTTACAAAACTGAGATGTTACGACCTTGGCTGGCTCTTCTTATATGGTGAGTGTGCCAGCAAGACTTTTTTGATGGAAAAATATATACTTAAGAATGAACAGATTGCCGACATTGACACATCGTCCATGTTCTCCGTTTGGAGGCACTCACACTTGATGTGCTTCATTCATCGGCTGTACTCGCCTTCTCCCCTTCAGCTCTGTCTCTCTCAGCCTTACACTCCTGGGATTCATTGGCTCTCAACACTCCCCCTCGAGTGCTATCCAAACGCATCAATGTCCGCAACCTCTGGAGTCTGGGATGTGCTAAGGGCTTAGTGAACACATCTGCAACATTGTCATCGCTTGGGCAGTAGATGATCTTGAAGGTGCTGTCCTTCATGTGTCCACGTATGAAGTGGTATCGCAAGTCGATATGCTTGGTATGTGATTGGAACTTGCCCATTGAAACTAATGCTATAGCAGCTTGATTATCACAGGATATGGGCATAGGGAGGTCGTGGATGTTATAGAGCTTGCGCATGAGGAGTTGCAGGTAAAGTACCTCTTGTGCCACACTGGTCAAGGCGATGTACTCAGCTTCTGCCATAAATAACACTATGATGGGCTGCTTGCGTGCGCTACAGGAAACAGAGCCTCCATTGAGCAGTACAATGTACCCGCTCATGGAGTGCCTATGGGGCTGTGATGCCCAATCGGCATCAACAAATGCCTCGATGCCTCTGTCGCTGGACCCCAATGTGAGCTCATATTCGGTAGTGCCTTTGAGGTACTGCAGGGCGCGTTTGGTAGCCTCCCAATGAGGTCTACCTGGATTCCTCATAAACTGCGATAGGGTTGCCACCGCAAAAGCGATATATGGCCGGGCACTTGTAGCTGCATACATCAATGATCCAATTGCACATTAATATGGTACATCACACATAGCTTGGACTTCAGCGTGCATTGCAGGAGATTGGTCCACGGAGAGGACAGTGCCTGGTTCCATTGGCATGTGAAGGATCTTAGAGTCTTCCAGGTGGAACCTTTCGAGGATCGTGTCGACATATGCTTTCTGTGATAGCATCAAGGTGTGTTCAACTCGATCTCTCGTCACCTTAAGGCCTAATAACCAGCTCAATTCCCCTAGGTCGGTAATTTTGAAGTGTTTGCGCAGTTTGGACTTGAAATGGTGGATATGGGAGATATGGTTGGCAGTGATGGCCATGTCCATTGACTGACACGGTGATGATGATGTGTTCGTTTGAGGTGCATTTAAAGTAGACTGCCTGATCTACCTTCGATCGACTGAACTCCATTTCATTGAATGCTCCAGCCAATTCTTGCGTCCACTCGTACCCTGCTTGCTTGAGTCCAGGTAAGCTCCATTTCAACTTTAGCACCTTTCCTTCCTGACCATCCTTCAGATATCCTGGGGGTTCTCTCATGTAGATTTCCTCCTGCAGAGTTGCATATAGGTATGCACTTTTAACATCCACCTGATGTATCTCCCAGTCACGCTGAGCCGCCATCATTAGCACGGCATGTATAGTGCTCATATTGGCTGTTGGTGCGAACATTTCAAAGAAGTCGACTCCGTATTTCTGGCACTGGCCATTGGCAACGAGGCGGGCACGAAGCTTCAGCTTCTCCCCGTCAGGTCCACATTTTGTGGCCAGGACAAAGTGACATGGGATGATATTGAGGCATCGAAACTCTATTAACAAAATGTTGTACCTAAACAAGGTACAAATCTACTTGTATGTCAGTACTGTACTCAAATGTTACAGCAAAAACAACTACTCACATCTCAGTGTTCATTTACGAAACTGAGATGTTACGACCTTGGCTGGCTCTTCTTATATGGTGAGTGTGCCAGCAAGACTTTTTTGATGGAAAAATATATACTTAAGAATGAAAAGATTGCCGATGTTGACATGTCGTCCATGTTCTCTGTTTGGAGGTGCTTGCACTCAATGTGCTTCATTTGTCGGCCGTACTCGCCTTCTCCCCTTCGGCTCTGTCTCTCTCAGCCTTATGCTCCTCGGATTCATCGGCTCTCAACATAATTTTCATTATATTTTAGGATTTTGCGCAGGACGTAGCACAGTGAACTCATTGCAAACACATAGCGTGCATGTAAAAATAACTACTGTATGTACCACCGACGATTTAAGGTTTCAGCCACTCGTTCGGCTACTTCCGAGTCAAGCTCGTCACCAAACATTAAGTCCAACATATATATGAACACAGTAATGCATACTCTTACATACTGTAACTTACAACTTACTATGTGGTATCATCCTAATGACTTAGTGTTGAATATGTTGATGTTTTACATCTGCCAAGTGGACAGCAAGTGTGACTATTTGTGACATTTATGGCAGAATAGGGGATAGTAAGTATGCGTTTTCAAACACCGAATACTCCGATCAAAAAGTCTCTTCAAAAATAGATGACCATAAAGGGCGCTTCTGCTTTTGAACTTTAAGTGCTAGCACCCCCCACGATGTTGTCATCTCCAATTTCAACTCTATCGCCAGTTCCCTACGATTTCGCGCGTTCTCTTCTTGAAGGCAGCTCAACCGATATATCTGCCAAGTCTGACCATCTCTCGAAGATAATATGCGCTGGTCACAACCTCGAGAAACGGATATATATAGTACGAGGATTTCCTTGTTTCACTCTGAGGCGAACACTGAGTTCGTGTAAGTTGTCGCTCGACGCAATCGACACGAATGATGATGAGCAAGATAAGCTCTTTGCCATGTACAGCATCGACACGGTACATTCAAGCTATACGGCAGCAAAGAATCGAGTCCGTCAATACAACCAATTTGTGGTGCTCCTGAAGCGTGATGAAGATGCATGGGAACAGAGACTCAAGGAAGCAGGTTATGTAGTGATCGAACAGCGTTTGTGTAGGGTGGCACTTGACGGATTCGAGGTGGAAGACGATGAACAGGACGCGTTGCTCAAGTGCACCGTTGACACGGTGTTCGCCAACTTTATTGCAGCTCAGCACAGAGTCCGCCAGTACAACCAATTCCTGACCATTCTGAATGGTGAGGAAGAGGCATGGGCACAAAGATTTCAGAAGGCATCATCGGTAATGCCGGATTACCAACCTAGTGCTACAAGGTGCCAGTGCCAATGATCACTGGAAGACAGTAGTACCCTACCATTTTCTAGTTCTAATCGTTTACTTGATCTCGATAGCTCATCATACTCTTAAAACAATTCATCTACTACTATGTCATCGTGCTGCGTCAATTTTATTAGACATGTTCCTATGGCAAATATGGTAATGCCTAATGAGGGATCCAGTCTGAACGCGCGGTTCCTTCGTCGCCCTTTGCTGGGATTTCGTACAGAGGACAAGAAACAAACAAAATTTTCCCATTCCTACTATTACTATCCTGAGAGGGCGACCGGAGACTCCGCTCTCAAATGGGACCGTCGTTCCAAGGGAGATGTCGGACTTGCCGGAATATACAATGGTCACGGTAGTCTACTACTAGGAGTACTAGTAAGTGCAAACGTGATATATATGGCAATGCCTAACAAGGATCCGTATTATATATATCGGATAGCTACCTACGACAATCGCCGTATGATCACAACTTCTCAGTCCGTGGAAGGGTCACGGCAATGCGCCTTTCGCAACTACTTCAGTGTATTCTGTTTACTATCTTCGTCTTGTCAATGGTGTCCTGCAGTGCTCCGCGTTGCTCTTGGGAGAGGGATACAGATTTTCGTGGCCTTAGCAGGCATCGCTCCATCTGCAGGCATTACCGCAAGGAAAGCACACTAGCTACCGAGAGAAGGCGGAACCGCGCACAGGAATCCGTTCAAACCTTGCAAAGGTCCTCACAGCTCGCGACTAGCAGTGGTACTCCTAGGGTAAGTCGCTAATCATCTCGTAGGTTGCTCCAACGTCCTCATTTCACTCACTATCTTCCAACCGTAGCTCGGACCAGTTCTATTTACAAAGAACGGTCACTTGAAACCTATAGCCCGTAGCGAACCTATGGTGTTTGGTACCCTACATCAACCTATCCACCCAGCCATCACCGCTCGTGCTAGTACGCCCACTCATATGTCGAACTTCGACTCCGACGTCTTGGATGTTGCCATGGAGGATCTTGATGAGCGAGGCTATGATTCCCCAGGTGTGCACCTTCCTATCTATTATCATAGTAGTACTCATTGTCATCACCAACAGCCACAGGTCAACACTCCTCGCAACGCAAGCCTAGACCAGTTCCAAGAGATTTCCACGACATTCTACCCCCCGATGAAGACGCTAACCCCTCAGATTCTTTTGGAAACGGTCTGTCTTCCGTGACGGAGACTCAGAGCGCACCCAGCAGCAGGATTCGAAGAGTCTTTTTGACTCTGCGCGATTCTCTTCAAACCGCTTTCAATACTATTGGGCTTTGTCGACAATATCCTAGGCGCCCTTCATTCGAGCCTGATAAATACATCTCTTCTTCGTTACTAGCTACTTCGAGTCCAACGACTGTCGATGCCCAGAGCCCTGAACCGTCTCCCGAACCACCACATCCCTTCCCTAACATGACTATCTACCGCCTTATGGTGTGGATGAACTCCGGCAGTCATCACAAATCGGAGGCTGAAGTATCACGCCTCGTTAAAGACATGTTTCATGCGGAGGATTTCAATCCGAGGGACCTGGATGGGTTCTCGGTCAAGAAGAACTTGCACATTTTGGACAACGACGGAGGAAAGGGGACTGCCGTCTTTCCGGATGATTGGTTACAGACAGACATCACCCTCGATATACCTACGAAGTCCAAGGACGAGCCGTCCAGGTCGTTTACTATTCCGGGATTTCATTATAGGCCACTCGTAGGAGTGATTCGTTCTGCATTTGCTGATATCCAGGCAAACGCATTCCACCTTCTACCCTTCAAGCGCCTGTGGAGGGATCCTCTGGACGGCCACCAAGAGCGCATCTTCGACGAACTCTATACCTCTGACTCCTGGTTAAAAGCCCAGGATGACCTACAGAGGCAACCAAGGGAACCCAACTGCTCGCTCGAACGCGTCATCGCTGGACTTATGTTATTTTCCGATGCGACTCATCTCGCAACCTTCGGAACGGCTAAAGCTTGGCCGCTTTATCTGTACTTCGGAAATTTGACCAAGTATGCGCGCTCGGCACCCAAATCTGGTGCATGTCATCTGGTCGGATTTTTACCCTCGGTAAGTTAACAGCCTCCAGTGCTGTGCATCTCTTACGTCGGATTTCTAGCTTCCTGATAGTGTCAAAGACGTCATCAACAGCTTACCTCAGATATCAAAAACCGGCATGGCAGCCCTTCACACACATTGTCGGCGGGACTTGTTCCACGCATGTTGGAGACATCTACTGGATGCCGACTTCCTTGAAGCATACTGTCATGGGATTGTGCTTCGGTGTCCCGATGGCATATTAAGAAGGGTATTTCCACGCATATTCACTTACTCCGCTGATTATCCAGAAAAGTGCGTTCGTTTTTCTTTGTTTCATTATCTAAGTACAAATCAACGTTCTAGGGTTTTGATAGCGACGATAAAGGACATGGGCTCTTGTCCGTGTCCACGTTGTCTCACGCCAAAAGCGTTATTTGACCTCCTGGGCCTGTTTAGGGACATACAAGGCCGTGTATCTAACCTCAGGACGTACTGTCTGGACAATGTGACGAAAGCTCGTGGATTTATCTATGGGTTGGGACATACTGTCGATGGCTCAAAGGTGCAGGCAACGCTTGGAGAAGGGTCATGGGTGCCTACCATGGTGAGTGCCTTCGCAGTCATGCCTTCTTTATCACTGACCTTGGGCTAGAATGCGTTTGCAGAAAAACTCGGACCCCTGGGATTTGACACCTTCCGCATGCTCGTCATTGATTTCATGCACGAATGCGAGTTGGGTACATGGAAAGCGCTGTTCACCCATCTCGTACGTCTACTCTACGCGCTCCCAGGCGGTGACCGGCTGGTCGCAACTCTTGATAACAGGTTTGTCGTATGATGCTTTCCTTGCCTATTTGAAAGTGATGGTATAAAGTAGATTTCGCCAAGTTCCGTCCTATGGCAATGGCGTCATACGCAAATTCGCCAATAATACCTCAGAAATGAAAAGGCTCGCGGCGAGGGATTTTGAAGATATTTTGCAGGTTCGTCCTCTCGATTCAGTTGCTATGTATGTAGTTGACTCTTATCACAGTGCGCTATACCGGTCTTCGAAGGCCTATTCCCAGAGGACCACGATGTGGTCGTACAATCACTTTTGTACAGGTTTGCCCAATGGCATGCCTTTGCCAAACTGAGAATACATTCGGAAACAACTTTGTCCGCTTTGGACAAGACCTTCAAGCGCCTCTCTGGTCAGTTGCGCAAGTTCCGGGATTTTACCTGTGCTTCTTTCACCACCTTAGAGCTACCTAAAGAGAAGGCAGCCCGTGAGCGCAAGGCTGTTCGTGAACACTCTGGTTCTGATAACCCAGGTGTGGGGAGCGGTGGCCGAAAGGTTAAGAAGTTCAATTTGAATACTTATAAGTTTCACGCTATGGGAGACTATCTCCAGTCTATCCGGCTTTTCGGGACCATAGACTCCTTCACATCACAAATTGTACATGCCCTACTATATATTTTCTCGCTTGATCTGATTTTGGACCAGGGAGAGTTGGCGCATAGAGCGCTAAAAGCGTTCTATCCGCTGACTAATAAACTAGATACCCCGGCGCAACTTACCAGGCATGAACATCGTCGTCGCGTCCTTGGGCGAGGCGCGGAGGGATGTTGCAGTTCATATACTGGCAAAGAAGCACCGGTCGACTTGCCTACAGGACTCCAAGATCACCACCTCATACGGAAACTTAGCTGCAACAATCCGTTGGACATTTTTAGTTTCCTTCGGGCTCGAGAGGACGATCCAGCTGTAGCAGTAGGTGTTAGCGCTCCCCGTTGTTCATCTTGCTCATAAGGTACAGGAGTTTATACCGAAACTCAAGGACCATGTGCTATATCGACTTCGAAAGTTAGATGTCAGCTATTGTGACCATGCGTTCACAGACGAGGAGCGAAATTCAATCATAATTTCAGATAGTAGGATATACTCCGTGCAAACTATGCAGGTACGTTGTGATATTCGCTGGCCTGCCATCCATCATTCACCCCCACAGGTCCATTACACAACTTACGATCTTAGACGGGAGTACGACACTATTAATCCTCGGACTCACTGTGATGTCATGGTTTTATCTGGCGAAACGAAGCCTCGACATCCATACTGGTATGCCCGAGTTCTGGGCATTTACCACATGAACGCATGGCTAAATGTTGAAGGTCTGGTCAAAAAGCATCAGATTGAGATTCTTTTCGTGAGATGGCTAGCTCCCTTGAGCGACCATCAATCGGGGATGAGCTGCGCTCGGCTTCCGAAGGTCGCATTCGTCGAGGAATCTGACCGTGATGCCTTTGGCTTCCTTGACCCTGGTCAGGTCATCCGGGGTACGCACCTGATCCCAGCTTTTGCTTCTGGCCGTGGAACCACCTCCCTTCGTCATGGAAAGTCATTTGCACGTCAGTGTGGCGAATTAGATGACTGGGAAGCGTACTACGTTGGCATGTAGGTACAGCGTCCCATCCTGTCGTCCTTACTCAAACCAAGGACCACCCAGATTCGTGGACAGAGACATGTTCATGCGGTACACGTCCCATGGAATCGGGCATCCCAAGTTGCTGCGGGAGATAACGAGGGCTTGCGCGGACGGAGGTCCCGAAGATGGCCTAGCATCAGGGGAAGATGAGAGCGATGACGATGACGATGAGGGAGCCAGGGTGGAAGGCGACGATGATGGGGAAGAGGACTCAGACGCCGATCAGGACCTGGACGAAGATGAAGATGACGACACAAACCAGTATGACGAAGACGAAGGGGAAGACAACGGAAATGACTGGGACAGAGAAGATCATGACGACTATTTGTATTTTTAATTTACTGACATTGTAATTAGACGTACGTTGGAAAGTGGGGAATCAAAGTCCTTAATCATATAGTACTTACTTTGAATGTCACAGTAGTCGTCGTCCTTGAACCTTGCCTGCTGCAATGACAGCATATTATATTTTTGTTACGAATGGTAATACTACTCTATATCTGGTGACAAGTGCCAAAGGCACTCGCCATAGGAAAGTCTTAAATGATCTTCTAGTTCTAAACATACATGACGGACAACGAGAGCATCCGACAGGTATGAGGGGAGTGCGATATCGCCCTATGCTGGTCTTCATTGCTGCAGGTCGCGACTTTGTTACGAAATCCCACACTATTGTACATTTGTTGATGAGTGCTAGAGGCACCTCCCACCGGAATGTCTTGGATGAGGTCATAATGCAAACCAGAAGTAAGACAAAACAACAATGCTCAAAATTATCGCCACCAGTATGCTACCACTCCTTGTTGGTTGCAATGCAGAAATGTCAACACATTGTCGTGTACTGCTCATGTTATCCTGAATTTGCAGGCATTGATAGCTATGTATCCGCAACTCAAATTTTTAACAGTATAAATGAGCATATTTAGCGGGAGCAGAATTGTATCGTTCTACAGTTCGCACGGCTACAATATCAAGGTCTCATCAATTCACTGATGTCCCTGATGGCAGACGACGAATTGCAGACTTTCCAGATCAAGAGCCGTTGCAGTGCTCGATGGATTGACGCTGGCGGGTCGCAGAGATATAGATCCATGAGCTATTCAAGGCTAACGTTAGACAAACAGAGTCGAGAAAATATCAGCGCAGTATGTTCAATCTTCGTGCAGCCTCCAAATATTAATCATCAACGGCAATGATCACTCGTTTCGACAGCCTCTCAAACTCGAGCTTAGTGGACCACGAGAAAGACTAGGCACAGTCGATCATTTTCAGATAAGTTCAAACATCTACATTGCTCGAGCAGCACGAAAATTTATCCACAAACAACTGCACTGATTGACTCCGAACTAGATATTGCTCCATCAACCATGATACCAAAGCGAAAGCAGAAACATAGCTCACTGTCGCGATGTACCACTCGGGCTGCCGGCTCAACTTCCGGCGGGCGCGCAGAACTCTCCTCTCTAAGGCGTGCAGGTGAGTCATGTGGTTGCACAGCGACCTGCTCATACTCACATCAGGTGAATTTATACATTGATAGTGCGAGCAGCAATCTCCATCTGTTATGCAAAGTGCATTTGTTCTGCCACATGCACTGACAAACATAGACGCTGTCAAAGAAACAGCAACGGCGAGGAACGAGAAACGCATTTTCTGTGCTAGATGATGCTGCGAGGCGATACTAAAGAATCTTCTGAGGGGGTTCTCGAATGATGGGAACGCTATGGGACGACAGCCAGCTTTTATATCGTGCATATACTTATGAACATGATTCTGATCGATCAGGCAGAATTGTTGTGGCTGTCTCGATGACAGAAATTTTGATAGAACCTGCAGGAGCGTGTTCAATTGAATCCGATTAATGGGTATAGTCCATGATATGCGAGTTTTCCCGCTGTCTTTGAATCCGTCTACTAAATGGTTACTCCTAGTAAATTCCAGTGCTTACAGATAAAGCAACATATATATATTGCCAACACAATTGTACAGCATATGAGTTCAATTCTATGCATGCGCAAGCGCGAAAGGGTCTTCTGCCACTATTGTTACGGCAGCATCAGCCAGAAAACTTACATCCCACTCCACTTCGGTGGACGGGCGCACGGTATTTTTCCCCTCAGCATCCATCCTGATCAATATGTGCTTGCACACTTGTTCTGCTGTTAGTCGGTCTTCCGGTTTGTGTTTCCACAGGGTTTCTATGAGACTCCACATAACGTCGTCCAACACTTGGTGTGTGTCACGTGGCCGTTCTGGCCGCTTTTTCGCCAGCACTAGTAACCGAATCGGCTGGTTTTGAAACGGGCACCTCCCAGTAAACATCTGCAAGTTTTGTCGTAGGCCAAGCCGAATGAAGTATTTTTTTCCATACCTCATAACAGACGCAAGCCAATGCATACATGTCGCACCGCCTTGTGTCAAACTTCTGGAGATCAGCTGCACTCTTTGCGGCAAGAAGTTCTGGAGCCATAAAATGAGACGTTCCTATGACATCGGATGATGTTGTAGTCATTTGATTATTAGGATCTCGAGCCTTTACAATTCCAAAATCCGCTATACATGCACGCCCGGAAGACGTTATCAGGATATTAACCTGCAAATTCAAAGTTTTGACTCTCTAGAATCAGAGCTAGGCACATACACTTACGCCTTTCAGGTCGCCATGAGTCACTGCTGGGTCCATTGAGTGCAGGTACTCCAGGCCCCGTGCAACATCCAGGATCTTCACTACCGTAAGTTGGATCTCGTGGTATGAAGTAACCCTGTACTTACCAGTGGATACCTGTCAGCATCACGATGCTCCTTAAGGTAGTGGTTAACATGACCATCTTTCATCCAGGGGGATACGAGGCACCAGGTCTTCTCAGCGTCGTAATCGAAGACGTATACGCCGTAGAACGGAAGACAGTTAGCATGTCGTACATGGTACCAGATCACCGCCTCGTTAGAAAACGACTACAACGCATGACAACATGTGATCTTCTGTAGACATCTGAATTGAAATTGAAATTACTGACTTTATCAAATTGTTCTCGGGAACGATTACCCTCTAGCACCTTTTTCACAGCAACAAGACGGCCGTTTAACTTGCCTTGATAGATCAAGCCAAATCCGCCACGAAAATCGGTAGGTTCTATGTCCTGAATACAACGAAGTTGCAAACTCTGCGGGAACCGTCCAGATTTCCTGGAGAGTTTGATCACAGCATTCACCAGATACCTTCTATATCTTTCAAGAATTTCAAACCGAGCCGCAAGTAGCTAACAAATGTCAAAGGGCGACTACGGAACTCTAAGTTAACGCTTACATTTTGCAGGATATCAACCATAAACTGTGCGTTGTCATCAGCATATAAAGTGTGCCAGTTGTCGCGCAGCTCGCGCTCTTCCGATGTTGTGTGCTCAACAATCAATGCTCCTATGTTGTTGATGTCGAGGTCGTGTAATTTCGTATCGTTAATCAGGCCAGTATTGCAAATGTGCGTTCCGACTTGTGACTGTTCATACCATTCAGTAGACTCCTCACTGACCAAAGTTTTGCACACCCTTTGTAGAATGTGGACAAACCCGTCCTTCATAGTCTTTAAATTTGGAAGGCAAGCATCGCCTTCTCCTATCAACCTCACTTTTAGGTCTTCGAGTTCGACCATAAGACTGATGCCGCGCATGAGAATTCAAACCACTGGTTCCAAAATACGACCCCGACCTTTGTTTCTCTGGAGCGCATAGTTGAAGGTGCGTGAAGGTGTACGCATACAACGCCTGATGGCAGCGTAAATCATGACACCGACTGACTGTTGCAACGCCGATGGACTCACCCCAAGAACATGCAGGTTACCGACGCCCTCGCTGCACGCTTGTCTCAACTGATCCGGCAAGGCGACGAACGCATGCACGATGTCTTGGATCTCTGATTGGAATATGTCGCGTTGCGGTCGAGTGATGACAGGAGCTGGCCGGGTGCTTGCCCTGGCTTGCCATTCCCCGAATGACACCGTGGGTCTGGAGACTCTGGGCGCATGTCGGTTAGGCAGCAGATGGTGTTCTCGTATATGGTGCGGCATATCCGTGCGTTCAAGGACCGCATCGCAAGACGCGCATTTCATCATCTGCATGGTTACAATAATCGTTGATCTCTCAAGTCGACCGGGCGTTGAAGATCTTGGTTATCACAAAACGATCAAAATCCTCACCGTTGGGGGATGTCAAGGCGTACCATGGACTGAAACTACTTATCAGGTAAAAAAGATGCGGCGTGGGAGTGGCAGCTGAAGTGAACTCCAGCTGGCGCTAAATGCGTGTGCAAATTCATCTATGCCATCGGACCGACCCTTTCAACTGGAAGAAGACCGAATGAAATTCTATATGCAACAAGGCTGAGAGATGAGATGTGACAATGATGGAATATCAATAGATGGTGTTTGTAAGATAGTGAGCAAGAAAAAAGAGGTCATCAGGTATCATTAATCGGTAGGGAAGTGTCATGTTGGAAAGTAATCAGATAAACATAGTGCTATGTCGATATCCTCGGTAGAAAATGTCAACTAGGAGGCAATCACGCGAGACCAGTCTTTGCGATATGCGATCGGATAATAGCCTCTCCCACTGACGTATCTGTATGAGCGCTTGGGAGGGCAGACATCTGTAAGAACGTACCATTGACTATGATGTCCTGCGTTGCCCGGATATCCTGAATTTATATTGATTAGGTCTCGTGCAAACCTCGAATGACCGGAAAACTCACCAGCATAGAGGTGAAGTGCTGGATGGCGACACAATTATTAGTGAACAAAGTTACTTCAAGACACGAGAAAAATCTATACATACAACATATAACGCTCGACGGCTGATATCGTGGCGCCTGTGAACTTGAATAAAATGTGCCCTGAAATATTCTGACACATCGGCGTAGGTGTTCGGGCGGTCGCCGTATGATGTGATACTATCATTGAGCTGTGAGCACAGCCGACCAACAAGTGATCATAAAATCTTACTATTTCCGCACTTTGACCCCAGCTTCTAGCTTCTTCCTTAGCAGATCAGTCTGCGCACAGTCATGTCACATCAGTCACACAGTCAAAGCTGTAAAAAATGATGAAAACCTTGTTAAGCATCAGAACCAAATGCGAGTTCTTCAGGAGTTTGTTTGAGCATATAGCTGTGAATAGCTGCAACGAGTCGTCCACTCTATTTGTCCTCGGATCTTCTTCAAGATACTATTTCGGGTACAATGAATAGGAGCACAAGGGGAGAATACACGAGAACATACTTGATCAAATGCACTGATTGGCGCTAAAAAAATGATTGCAGTTGCTAATCCGAAACCAAGAAACACGGTCAGTTAGTAAACATTCCTTTTTGCGGACAATGAATGCGCCTCCGCGGCGCCCGTGTCCACAGGTGGCAAGTGCAACAGAGCAAAACACCCACCATCGTCAAAGTATGGTACCCACGCGTGGCGCTGATGCGATGGTTCGGAGTCAGACGGCAGATTTGTTTAGATCATTAAATATCATGAACTCGCCTGGCCACGCTAAAAATGAGTGTGGCGCCTTGTTGAGCTAAACAATAGAACAAGAAAAATAGGCACACACGTACAGCTCCGCCGACGTCGTACATCAACCAGTTATATCTAGAGCCGCATAATTCTATATCGAAAGAATGCTCAGCCACACCGAGCGTTTGTAGTCTAACGTTGAGAAGATCGGCTAGATCAGACACATTCAACGTTTGTAAATAATTTCAGAACACGTATGCACTTACCCGTTGACGGAAGGTAATCAGGCTGCGCGACACGTTTGATGCTGTCCAGGAAGCTGCGAGGACAGTCAACAAACAACACTCAAGGTACAGATGGGACGTACAATGGTGCAGACTCATCAAGCCTGATTCGCCTGTTGTTGAGGAGTATCCGAACGGCCGGGTGCTTCCAGAGCTCATCTACCTCATTTTGAACAGAAATGAGCGTCCTCGAAGCCAGGCTGGTCACCTGAGCAACAGCGGGAGAAAGTCCGCCAGTACCAGGAAGCGCACGACTCCGGTTGGGCGATAAAGGGGTGACAAGAGCCTGCCATCCTGCACGGACATATACACCAGTTCGGCCGCCGGTCACAGCGACTCCGCCGCTGAGTTCCGATGCCAGCGAGTCCTCCATTGCAACCAGAGGCACCAACTTAGTACGCAGCCCGGAGAATTCCTCGCTCAGATCACCCAAGGGGGCTAGGGAATGTGCGACAGCCTGGCCCTCCAACGAATCATCAATCGAAAGGTTGTTGAGTTCGTGGTCTAGTTCGTCTAGAATCATTCGAACAGCCTTGAGTATATTGAAATACACAACCGGACGCCATAGGGGACGTTCATGATCGAGGGCATGTTGGGCATAGTACAACTGGAATTGCTTCTGGAGTGTTGATTTTCCGGATTCTGCCTGGCCAAGAAGCATGACTGTATGATTACATACATACGTTTAAGTCAACTCTGAGTGGGTAGTGTTCCTCGACTGAACGTACCCTTCACTTGTCTTCTCTGAGCATCCTTGCGCCGCACCCAGTCTCTCTGCAGATTTCGATGATAAAGAGTTCCTAGTTAAGCAGAGGAAAATGGGGTACAAACCTTGAGCTCCTCATCAATTTTCTGGCTGACTCTGGCAGCCTCTTCATCGTAGAACTGGTATTCCTTGTCAACGTTGGCGGCGTCGAAGGTCTGCATTAAGATTGGTTCGGAGGTGGAATGGGCATGACCCGGTCGTTTGGTCATTCTTCGGTTTGAACACTTTCAACTTGAGATGCGAACGGTGGAGGAGAAGGTCGATTGCGGCATGCCTGACAGGGCTAATATCCCACGTATGTACACTAGTACAGGAATTTGGGCAACGAAGATCAAAGTAATACTTCCAGTCCCATCAAACTATCGTTGTTTAGGTAAGCTATGAAAACACCTTACAGCAAACCGTCCTTTATTCCCTTATACACCTTGACAAGTCACTGTCGTGATGGCTTTTGGTACTGAACTGACTTTTTAGCTCAACAACATCACATCTTTCGAGGGAACGCACTCGTGACTTTTATCATATCCGAGAGCACGGATAATCACTGAGGCTATGCTGATGGTGGCTCATGTTGCAGTAGCTGCTTTTCCCGACGGAGTTGAAGCGTTCCATAAGCCCTTAGGTCAGTGCCTGTGGATCCTCAGCTCCACCCGGCGGCCATCACCGACTCACTGTGGCAACCACAGAACACTTAGCATGTGCTACAAGATATGCAACTGACATCATATAGTATCATACGGGCATATTCTGTGAACGAGGTTGTCACAAATCAAAGACATGAGTAGTAACGTTGCGATTGATGCTGTGCTTCCCAAAGGTGCAATCGCACTTTTCTAAATTTGCTGCAGATAATAATCACGCTGGCCAGGATCAGTCATCTTCAATACGACTATCCGAAATTAACAGCATGGCTACTGCCTCTTTGATGACGCCTTTCCTATCCTACTGTCACTCTCCATAAGATCTGTGCAGAGATCCGTTGTTGATGGACTGCGGCCCAAACTGCCGAACAACGTCGACATTATGATTGGCGGCGGACAGACAATATGCAGTAGCTACCACGGGCCACGACTACCCTCTCTTGGACTTGTGGTTTATTTTCGGTTGACGGATGAACGATCCCACAATCAATAATGGCCACAGCACGCAGCCTCAGTGACTCAACGCTTGAGCGGCATCAGATATTTAGGTTCAGACCTCCGAGTTTCGCATGCATCCATATGCTTATTGTTCTTCTCTAAGGGCGCCGTCTTGTGTAGTATATCGTACACCACGACAAGTCTACAAAACATCACAATGTGAGTATTCGTCGCACGAAATACACTGCTTCGAGTGCTAAAAATAGCTCTTCAAGCGAATAACTCGTGGCATTCACATTCTGAATGTCTCAAGATCTCCCATAATAGGGTAAACAATTGGATGACTATCTGTAGGCTCGAATAATACAAAATACAATATAGTCGACCACACTCGGAAGTGAAACTGCGACGCCGCAATTCATTCGAGTTCATTATCTGGCGCCCATTCCAATGAGGAACAACTGCGATTCATGTCCAACCCAAACTTTACCTCTGACCTTTTTGGATTCGTATGTGTGCGACTTATGAATGCAACCCGTGCATGAAGTACGGGACTTGACATGGTTGACGTACGATCTTGTCGACTCTCGAGAAAGCTAGAAAGCTCGACTTCAGCCATTCGCCTTGCTGCTAACATCCTCGTATCTTCTACGTGGTCGAGATTCGAGAACTCTTCGTCATCAAGCGCTGTAACAGTATATTCATATTGTCTTAAATTCCGCATTATTGACATTCCAATGTTCTATAGTTTTGTTTTTCATGTAGATTATCATTCGCAAAAGTCTTTCAAAGTCCAAAACAATCTATTCCAGTCTATTTTGTCTGTCAACTCGGACGCGATTATAGCTCCTCGAAGCCCGAGGGTATATGAAGGATATTCGATTGCAGTCTCACGATGCACGCCCATCTCAATATTCGATCCGAAGTTCAGGAAGTGCTGCAAACGGAATCAGCTTGTCGGTTTGTCAGACGCTTCCAATGGTTTGCCGACGGTGTGCGGAAATATTGGCCGACGAGAATAATGTATGTGCACGATGCGGCAATATGTTAGTGAGCTTCTAGCTGTCAAAACTATTTTGTAAGCCGTTGGAATCCTAACGACATTGTAGGCTTATCCATATCCCCTGTTCCCTGATCTCGTCACAAGATGCTACAATACATAGAATTCGGTTTTGTCCCCATCCAAGGGCTGCCAGTGTATCACTTGGACTTGTCAGTAGAAACAAATATTCGTGTTGTAAATTCAAGCTATATATGAAAGCAATTCAGGTCACCTTGCGATATGACATTCTTCCTTATGATGGTTATCCATTTTCTTCTACCTGGGGCTAAGCAGTATTTCTCGTCTTCGCCTCGGGACAACCTCGGGACGATAACTTGAGGAGACGGGATTCCGGTCTTATCCGTGAAAGTTCACACCGCCTCAACGTCACATAAGTTCTCCGAGTCCGCTCGTTCACGCGTTACAGTTCACGTTTCGTTTGCTTGTGTCGCACAACTTAATACTACATAGAGAGTCCCGACTCTTGACGTCACTGTACTACGACCGGTTCGCCTCACTAAAATGTCTCGTCCTGTCCAACATGCTTTCTCCTTCCTCCGTTCCGGAATGAGAGCGAACCACAACGTACGCTCATCGTTTGCGGCATTTAGCAGACGCACGATGGCCTCGGCTGGCCCGCATGCATCTCATGGCAACTACGGGAGTGATACACCATGGATGGTGCGTGCTCTTGCGGTGCACCCGTTAGTTTGAGTAAAATAAATCATTTTTTGGATTGAAATCTTCAGATTGGCTCGGCTTTGGTGTTTGGTCCCGCGGTAGGTTTCCAGACGCGTCTTTTTTACATCGAAAGCGAGTCTAAGGGATGGTTTTAGGTGCTCTATCTCTTGTCGCCATCTTCGCGCAAGACTAGCCATGCCCATGAGTCGGAGCACAGTCACAACGCACACCGGAGTGTATGTCCATCTTTTGTTATGTTCAGTAAATAACTCACGGGAACTGCACAGGACTCCAGTGATGTAAGCATCTGAAATTGATATTGTAATGCTACAGTTTTTTAACGGAAGTTACGTGTGTTCACGGCGCTTTGCATAGCATGTCGAGCCGCAGCCCTCTGCAATGAAAGATGATGAAGGTACTGAGGTTTCTGGTGAGGAGATCAAGCAGTCGATGGAGCAGGCATTCGTGCGTTTGTTTTCTTACCGACTCACTCGTGTATTTATATATGATATGAAGGATGCCGATTCTCCCAAGGACGCTCAGGAGCATGAGGAAGCTGTCGCTAAGGATGAAGAGGTAGCATCGAGCGAAACTGTTTCCCAGGAGAGTGCAGATTCTGCTCCCTCAGAGGCTGATTCAGCGCCATCCAAGGAGGAGGAACCAGAGGTCGCACTAGAAGTCGCTCAACCTCAGTCTCCAGCAAATACCGAGGCAAGTGAGCCTAGCCAGGAAGCTGCTGTAAGTTTCCTTTCGTCCTAGTCTTGATGTGTACTCATGGCATGCTAGGAAGAGAAGCACTGAGCGATGAACTTATAAAATTTATCATAGAGCTGTCTACTTATTTAGTATTTACCTAGTAAGTAGTTGTGCGTCACCTTACAACGCACCCAAAAAACCATTGCTTTCCTGCATAACATCCCTAAATGACCCGAGTGATATGACTTTTAAACATTACTCCGCCTCAAGTTCAAGCAAAACATATAACTATTTGTTCTATCCATCATGATATCGTCTACTTTTAGATTGCCTCAAAGGGCTCTACCATTACAATTGCCCGGCAGGGCCAGGCTCCTTTCCGCTTGTATTGGCCGCCGTCTCAATAGGCTTCATGGCAGGGAACAAAAGCACTTCCTTGATGTCTGCACACGACCGTCAGCACATACGTAACATTAGACCGGACGACACGTACTGGGGGAGTCAGTAAGGAACATGATGAGCCGGTCGATACCCATGCCCCAGCCTGCGGTTGGTGGCAGACCATGTTCAAGCCTGTATTTGTTGGGTTTAGGCAGAGTAATGAATGTGCCAGAAGTAGAACATACGCATCAACAAAGACTTCATCTACACCTTGTGCTTCATCATCACCTTGCTCCTTCTGACGCGACTGAAGTTGCATGGTGAGAAGTTGTAAGCAGTAGATGAAATAATGGATCGTGTCTTACCTGCTCCTCGAAGCGCAACCGCTGCTCAAATGGATCATTCAACTCAGTGTACGCATTGCAAAACTCCTTCCCGCACATGAAGCCTTCGAAACGCTCGCACAGACCAGGACGTGAGCGGTGGTTCTTGGCGAGAGGGGACATGACTTGTGGGTGGCCAGCTGCATATATGGAGGTGTGGTTAACATAGGGGAGAAGAGATGACAGTAAGACATACTGATGAACGCAGGAGAGATACACAGGGGCTCGATGAAATCTCCAACAAGCTATGCGCAAGTTAATGACGGCGTTGAGAGATACCGAAGAAGACAGACCTTATCAAGGAGTCGAGCGTTAGTCCGGGGCTCACTGCAATCAACATTGTGCTGTGACACATCAGGGACATTCCCCAGAGGTCGAGATCAAATCACTGACCTTGACACACAAGTCTCGCAAGAACTTGTTAGTCTCCGCCGTGTGCAGCGTGTCACCAGAGGGGAACTTGACTCCTGTCTTCTCCTCGAGCGTCTCGATCATGTCATACCTCTTCCACGGCGTCTTGAAGTCCATTACGAGCTCCTTGCCATCCTTGCCCTCGGGGTGATACTTCACAATCGTGCTGCCGCCGTTGAGGTACTTGACCATGCTCTCGAGAAGATTCTCCGTAATTTCCATCAGGTCATACATATCCGCGTAGGCCATGTAAAACTCGCAGAGAGTGAACTCAGGGTTGTGTGTCAAATCAATGCCTTCGTTCCGGAAGACACGTCCGATCTCGTACACACGGTCGAGTCCACCGACAGTAAGCTGCTTCAGGTACAGCTCAGGTGCAACACGGAGGTACAAGTCCAAACCCAGATCATTATGATGCGTCACGAATGGACGTGCGGTGGCACCACCTGCAACCATGCTCGTCATAGGTGTCTCAACCTCGAGGAAGCCGAGGTTATCAAGGTAGCGGCGGAGATAATTGATCACGCGTGCGCGCGTGATGAAAATGTTGCGCGTACCAGGGGACATGATGAGATCGAGGTAACGCTTGCGATACCGGGTCTCCTGGTCCTTAAGACCAAAGTGGGCGGATGGGAGTTGGTGCAGATTGGGTGCGAGGAGAACCATGGATGAGGGGGAGATGCTGAGCTCGCCTTTCTGACTGCGCGAGGGGTAGCCAATGACACCGACGATGTCTCCGCGACGGAAGAGTGCCTGCGTAGACATGAATTCATCCGAGTTTTCTGCATCGCTATACACGATTCAATAAATGTAAGTTGACATTGAAGATGGACCTCACCGGACGTTTGCGAGAATCTGTACCTGCGTGCCTTCGCCGTGTAGGTCGTAGAACTTGAGTTTGTTTCCGCTACTCCGGATATTGTGTACACGACCAGACAGAGCAACAATTACGTCGTCGAGCTTCTGGCCAGCAGGAATCAAGCCTTCCTCGCTGTACTGTTCAACAAAAGAGGCGATGCTCTGGGTGACGTGAAATTTGTGCGGGTAAGGATTGGGAGACTGGGTCTCCTTGAGCTTTTGGATCGTACGAGCACGCAGCTCAAAATATTGCTACATCGTGTCAGGATCACTGCTCAATTGATAGCAGAGATTACTCACATTCGGGTTCAGGTCATCCTCATTTGCGGCTGCAGGCTTAGATGCAGCTTGAGGTGGTGCGGCAGCGGCCTTGTCCGCCTTCTTCGCATCCCTCTCGCGCTGCTTCTCGCGACGCTTCAGCTCACTGTGCACGATGATCTGTGAGTGGGCAGATATGATCATGATCATTAATGACTCGTCACGCACGTCTTGGAAATCATCTCTCCCGTGACGGGATCTTTGTGTGTTCCTGCAGGACTGTCTGACGCCATGGTTCTAAGCAAGATAATGGGAGGTTGTGTAGGTCTGACTGGATATCTTGATGGTATCTGACGCAAAGAAGTAAGGAATCTTAATCTTTGCATGCAACATTTTTGGAACCACATCAATTCCTTGAAACGAGTCAGAGATCACGTGACAATGCCGCAAATGCCGCTAGGCGGAACTTGAAAATGACTTAGCAGTGCCGCAATGCCGATTAGTCATGGGAGTGGGTTACATAATAAGATTATCCGTTTTGGTAGTGCTTACAGGGTATGCCAATCGATACAGACCGGCCCACGCCGCAAACAACTCCTTCGACATCACCCACAACAACGACAATGTCTTCTGATTACGATTACTCCGACGACGAGGATGCTTTCTACGATGATGAGGACATGATCAGTACAGGTGATGATGGTATGTTACCCTTCTTGTTGTGGCTCATTCGATCGCCGACAACATCGCAGGTTCAGCACCCAGCGATGATGACATGGACATGGAGTTCGCGGACGACTTTAAAGTCCCTCAACATTCGCCCCGAAAGGCGTATGAAATCGAACATGAGTCACTTTCCCAGCAAGCAGTTGAGAAGCTCTCGGCTGCTGATGTGGACCATATATCAAGCATATTCGGCGTCGATGTCCGTATGAATGTCTTCAGTTTGATTTCACACTGATGGTTCTGTTCTGCAATTCTTCTTCGCGATATATAGGAAAGTACAGCTTCCTTATTGCTGCGTAACATGAATTGGAATAAAGAACGCCTCATCGAGAAGTACATGGACAATGCATCCTCCGTTTCTGTCGCAGCCGGTGTATCGACCCCTTCCCGCGCCTCCCCCTCTGTAACGGGTCCTGCACCCATCCGCTCATCAGGCAGCCGTCGCAGAACAACTCGGCTGACACCAGGTACGTCACTCGTAACTGATTTATATGACCCACCTTACCTCGCGTGCCTAGTTCCCAAACCTGAACCTTGGGTTTGCCCCATTTGTTTCGACGACTCTCAAGCGTCATTCCTCTCACTATCATGCGACCATTCCTTCTGTGCAGGCTGCTGGACAGCATATATAACCTCCAAGATTCGTGAGGAGGGCGAGCATGCTATCCGTTGCATGGCTGAAGGCTGTGCACTTGTCGCACCTGACCCCTTCATTATGTCTACTTTAGAGAAATATGGCGAGGACGAAGATGGGCGGACTCGTGAGCGATTCCAGGAATTGCTCGTTCGGCACTTTGTCGGTGCTAACACACACCTGAAATATTGTCCTTACCCATCGTGCACTTACACCGTCTCGTGCCCTTCTGCTTCCTCCCGTTCATCCCTCACAACTATGGTGCCAACCGTCAGTTGCGGTGCAAATCATAAGTTCTGCTTTGGGTGCTCTATCGACAGTGACCATCGCCCAGTCATTTGTCCCGTCGCCAAGATGTGGTTGAAGAAGTGTAGGGATGACAGTGAAACTGCAAATTGGATCAAGAGTAACACAAAGGAATGTAGTAAGTGCCAGAGTACTATAGAGAAAAATGGTGGTTGCAAGTGCGTGTCTCATCTCGGAAAATATGAGATTATGCTGATTGTTTTGTCAGCCACATGACTTGCAAGAAATGCAAGTATGAATTCTGCTGGGTGTGCATGGGTTCGTGTCTCGTACATCGCCTCGTTTTATTCTGACATTTTGTTCCACACAGGCCCCTGGTCTGAACACGGCACAGCGTGGTATTCGTGCAATCGCTACGATGAGAAGGCCGGTGTGGACGCCCGTGATGCGCAGTCCAGGTCCCGTGCTTCCCTGGAGCGTTACCTCCACTACTACAACCGGTGGGCGAATCATGAGCAGTCCGCAAAATTATCTGTCGAGATGTACAATAAGACCGAGAAGAAGATGGAGGAGATGCAGATAACGTCCTCGCTCACTTGGATCGAGGTGCAATTCATGAAGCGTGCTGTAGAAGAGGCAGAACGATGCCGCGCCACGCTAAAATGGACGTACGCAATGGCGTTTTATCTGGACAAGGGAAATGAGAAAGAACTGTTCGAGGATAATCAGAGGTAAGACATTCGATCTGGATTTTACCTCCGCTCCATCATATTCTACGGATCTGTTCAATCGTTTTTTGTAGGGATCTGGAAAAAGCGGTTGAGGACTTATCGGAGCTGCTTGAATCACCAATTGATCCAGAAACAATCTCGACTTTGCGGCAGAAGGTGACTGATAAGACGGTGCGCGGTTTCTATACGTGTTACTATTACATACTCATCCTTGTTCACTCTTCAGGTCTATGTCGCGAAACGCAACGAGATACTATTGGAGGATACTTCAAATGGTTTTGCGGAAGGGCGCTGGAAGTGGAATATGGCGGTAGAGGGGTTTGAGTAGATGCCAGTCATTCTTCCCTGACACTGAGATTGCGCACTACAATTTTCCTTACTTGCACCTCTCCAACTTAGCACAATTTCATCATTCCCATTCCACACTTGCCCTACCTTTAAGATATCCAACATCGTTAAATCACTGTATTTCTTGGA